AAATTAGCTGGGCATGGTAGCAGGCACCTGTAATTCCAGCTACTTGGGAGGCTGAGGCAGGAGAATCACTTGAACTCAGGAGGCAGAGTTTGCAGTGAGTTGAGATAGCACCATCGCACTCCAGCCTGGACAAGCAGAGTGAAATTCCATCTCAAAAAGAAAAAAAAAGAAAAGAAACAAACAAAAATCCAAATCACAATTTTGTTGTCTCTGCAGTGATAATTGTTGCTAGCATATTGGTACATACTCCATAGATTTTTGTCTCTCTTTGCATCATGTACACAGACACATAACCGTAACATTTTAACATTAAAAAATGAGATATTTCTTTATTGCATTTTAGTTTTTTCATTGATAATACTAGATATTAGTCATTTTGATATTTGCCATTCTTTAACACAAATGTATGTTTTTGTATTAGTTTGTATTTTTCTAATTACCAGTAATACTGACTAGTTTTTCACAGGTTTAATGGATTTTGTTTTCTCTCTCTTGTGACCTGACTTTTACTATATGTTTTCTAGTAGTGATCACTTTTTCTTATTGATTTGTACAAGCTCTTTACATATCAAGCGTATTAACTATTTGCTTATTATGTATATAGAAGAAAATTTTCCCTAAGTTGTTCTTATTTCAATTTTATGTTAGAGGTTTTTTTGTTGCTGTTTTGTTACATAAATGTTTAAGATTTGTAGTCATATATACGATTATTTTCCTTTGTTTCCTGCCTTTGGTGTTCTGTGACCAGATTACTGTTTTTAATGCTCAGGTCTGATCATATGACCCATAGAATGATTACTGGCCTGCAGAGGCTGGAGAGGCCCAAGCTTCTTGGGCTCAAAATCATCAAGTAGATAAGTTCTCTTCCTGGTCAAATCACATTTCAGCTCATTTATGACTCCTTTCTTTCACACAATTAAAAATAAAAGAGTCTGTTAGACACAGGATCTCACTAGGTTGCTCAGGCTGATCTCAAACTCCTGGGTTCAAGGAATCCTATCCCTCAGCCTCCCAAGGAGCTGAGATAGCAGGCCAAGCCACCACAGTTAGCACATTCATAATAGTGTACGCTATTCGATACAATCAATTGCTATTCTGAAAATCTGTCCCATCTTTCAACACTCTTAGAAATTATGAAAAAAAAATAAAAGATTTTAATAGTGACTAGAGAAGATTATTAAAATAGATTGATATGATATTCTTGAAATTACACCTTGGAAATCACATTTTTCAAAACCAGAGACAGAATACACTGGGACCTTGCTTCAGGATCCCTCTGTGGTGGGAAGAAGGGAAGCCTGGGTCGAATAAAAGGTCTCCTAGTGCAGCTTAGGATATTCTGCTACAATCTAAATGCATTCAAGTGATGTCATTTAAATTATGAATGCTACATGCATAGGTTCCCCCTTGGTTAGCTGTCACACAGCAAGCCGACTAGTCACCTAAAGTTTACCTAGAGCTTTTCCTATCCAGAATTCCCACCCACCTTTGCTCACACTGTTCTTTCTATCTGGAACACTCTCTCTCAAATTATCTCTATCCCTCCTCGACTAAACTACATTAATCTTCCAAGTCTCCACTCAAAACCGATCTCCATTTTTAATTCCCAAGCAAGAAACAAGTGAACACTTGCTTCTTATAGTTTGCAATGCTTTATGACTCTTCTCTTGTGACTCATCATATCTTTGCTTGCTCATGATTGCCTGAGTGCATGTTATCTCCCTACTACAGTATAAGTTCCTTAGGAGCAGAGACTGGATCTCATCTTGGAGCACATCTCCAGTACCTAACAGAGGGCACTGGGTAGTCCTTAGTAAATTTGCTGAATAAAGGAATGATCATAACGAATGGCTCAGTGCTACATCACTGAAGCCACTATCTAGGGTTTGCTTTAAGAAGGTCTTGGCTGGGCACAGTGGTTCACACCTGTAATCCCAGCACTTTGGGAGGCCAAGGCAGGAGGATCACTTGAGGTCAGGAGTTTGAGATCAGCTTGGCCAACATGGAGAAACACCACCTCTACTAATAATACAAAAAAATTAGCCGGGCATGGTGGTGAACGCCTACAATTCCAGCTACTGGGGAGGCTGAGGCAGAACCCGGGAGACAGAGGTTGCAGTGAGCCAAGATCGCGCCATTGCACTCCAGCCTGTGTGACAAGAGCAAAACTTCATCTCAAAAAAACAAGAGAAGGTATCTGAGAAGCTCTAAACCCACACTGGGGTTGGAAACAGGCCCACAGTCATTATTAGGGCTTCTTTTGAATTCTCAGCAGCGCTGCCCTATCGGGTCAACATTCACCTCAATATTAACATCTGGGCCAAGTCAACATCCTAGAGATCTAGTATCTGTTCTGGCACATTCACTAAGGGTAACAAAGACACACAACTGGAGCCTTGGTATCTCTCAGCTGGTACCACCACTCCTGGAGAAAAATATGATTCTTTCTCTTTCCTTTTCTCTCTCTCCCTTCCTTCCTTCCTTCCTTCTTTTTCTTCGTTCCTTCCTTCCTCCCTCCCTCCCTTCCTCCCTCCCTTCCTCCTTCCCTTCTTTCCCTCCCTCCCTCCTTTCTCTCCCTCCCTCTCTCCTTTCTTTCCTTCCCTCCTTCCCTCACTCCCTCCTTCCATCCTTCTGAAAAATAATACAACTCTCTCTCTCTCTTTCTTTTTTTTCTTTTCTGAGATGGAGTCTCACTCTGTCACCCAGGCTGGAGTGCAGTGGCATGATCTCGGCTCACTGCAACCTCTACCTCCTGGGTTCAAGCAATTCTCTGCCTCAGCCTCCTGAGTAGCTGGGATTACAGGCACTCGTCACCACCCCCGACTAATTTTTATATTTTTAGTAGAGATGGGGTTTCACCATCTTGGCCAGGCTGGTCTTGAACTCCTGGCCTTGTGATCCACCCACCTTGGCTTCCACACTTTTTTTATAGCATCCAAATCCAGGACAAGGCTGTGTGAGTCAAACTGCTCAGGGTTCCAACTTGCTAAAACATGGTATAACTGGCAGTAGTTGACTTTGCTTAAACAGGAGCTCAATGCAAAGGCATTCAGCACAGAGACTAAGAGAGTCATACCTGAATGTTAACATCCGCCCCGTTGTTGACTAACAATTCAAGACACAAAGCACCATGAGTGGAGGCAGCAGCAAAATGCAAAGGGGTGAACCCATTATTGTTTGGCTGGTTCACATTAGCACCATAGTCAATCAGCTCGTTAACCACAGCATCCTGTCCATTGTAGCAGGCGATGTGAAGCGCTGTATTTCCATAGACATTGATTTCATCAATCTGCAAAAGAGTCCAACACAGGGCGATTAAAGTCACTGGAGCCAGTTTACTCCATTTTCCACAAAAAGCTTAATGGCTGTGGCTAGAGAAAGGAAATATCCATCAGCCAATATAATTGTTCAGAGCTTACTCTTGGCCCAGTATGGTCTTCTTGATGATGCTTGTCACCCCATGGTAATGATCAGCAAAAAGTCAATGTGACAAAAAATGAACTGGAAAGAGAGTTAGAAGTTTTGTCCTGGGGATAGGTATTTCTCAGCTAACAAACGGATCAAAGGTGAAGAGCAAAGTTTCTTTCAAAACACCAAAAGAGAAGTAAATCAGGGGAGAACAGAAAGAGCCCCAAACTCTAGGGTTGAGGCACAGTGAGCCTAAAGACATGGTGGGAGGTGGCTGTGGAGCCTCAACATGGAAGGCGGGTCAGACCCACTCTCGGTTCTGCTCTGGAGTCCGACAAATCACAGGTTGCATTTTAGTTGCAGAGCGGTGTTGCCCTCAGGAGGTGTGTTCAGTCCATGGCTCCCTATTGCTTTATGAGGCCCGCCCTGGGTGCTGAGTTTCATCATTATGGTCGTATAGGAACTTGGTTTTCCTTTCCTGGGGGACAGGATGTTCCAACCTCACCACTGCTCCTGTTCTACTAGAGGAAGGAGAATGGGGCAGTCTGACTTCTCCAGTTCAACAGTAGACATGGCTGCTGTTTGTCTCTGCCATTTATTCATTCATTTCTGCTTTAAGTCATGACTTAAAAGGCTACACTCAGACGGTGGGATGCAGAACCTTAGCTAGTCTTTAAAAACAACCGGTTAATATGTGTGACATAGACTCTACATGTCTATATATTTATCTACGTTGATATAGAAAGTTATTCAGTCTCCAGTTTTCCTCGGCTTAGTGTATGCCCCCACTGCCCTTCATCAGTTGCCCCCAGAAACTCAGAAAGATGGATGCTAGAAAACAACTCCCCTGCCCTTGAATTAAAGTGCAGACAGGATTTAACTTTAGAATAACAGAAATCCCACAAATACACAAGCCATGCAGCGAGGCATTCACTATAGCTCACCTCCACCCCCAGATTCAGGAGATGCTTGACAACATTGATCTGTCCATTGGAGGCTGCGGCATGCAGAGGGGTGTAACCCTTCTTATCCTTACAGGTCACTTCTGCACCATGGTTAATGAGCAATGCTACCACATCCAGGTGGCCTTCACAAACAAAGCAACAGAAAACATTGTTATCCTTTAGAGGGAAATTTGCTCATTCATTTCACCTAAATTATCACTGTTAGCTTTTATTGCCACCAGTCTTTTGCTGAGTTATTTGTAAAAAGCTGATTCACGGCAACTATTCAACAAATGTTTGCTGAGTAGCTACTATGGTCAGGCATAATGTAAATGCTGTGGGAGGAAAAAACATGATTCATACGTGAGCCTTCTCTTCAAGGAGATCTAGGTGCCCTGTTACCATGCTAATGAATAATGGTGAAGTTTTGCCAGGATATAAGCAGAGAGCCTGAGAAAAGTTGTGTTAAAATGAAAGCAATGCCTTTGAAAACAATTGCCATTCCTCACTGAAAAGTTTAACAATGACAATTCAGTTTAGGAAAACTGATGAAAGAAAAAAAAATCAATTAATGAGAATGACCCCAGATTACTGTTTAATCATATAAAATTACTGCTGCTTAATGGTATTTTGGCCCACAAAAATGACAATTTCATATGGCTTACCTTACAAATACCCTCATGAATTAGAAGCCAAACAGAAAATCCTTCTAGTTTTAGCTCCTTTGGCATTTATTTCTATGATCTTTTACTCTGTTCCATAATTCACTATACATAGAATGATAAGCCTGGGTTCAAGCGATTCTCATGCCTCAGCCTCCTGAGCAGCTGGGACTCCTCCATCTCTACTAAAAATACAAAAATTCAGCTAGTTTTGGTGGCACATGCCTGTAGTCCCAGCTGTTCAGGAGGCTGAGGCACGAGAATCGCTTGAACCCAGAAAGTGGAGGCTACAGTGAGCTGAGATCACACCACTGCACTCCAGCCTGGGCAACAGAGCAAGACCCTGTCTCAAAACAAAACAAAAAAATGATAAACATATTTGACCTTTATTTTGGGACTGAAGATTGTTTGATGCTTCAGGATCATTGCTGTAAACATGGCTGAAAATTGAAGGGTAGAAGACAAGCACTGACTCCAGGACTTGTGTGTGTGCTGGGGTGGGGGGAAAGTATTGGCTTGTTTTATTAAAATTTGACTCTTTTCTCCCCAAGACGTGTATATAAGAAAAATATATTTTCAATTATTAGTGGTGCTACCTTAAGCTGTTTGCCCTGGTTTTGCCTATTATTCCTGTTTGTATCCTGATAAAACACAAGACAATGACTTGATTCCTTTAAAGTCACTTATCCAAATGCTTTAGCTGTATATACATCAGCAGAGAATAAGCTTGGAACCTCACAATCTTTGAATCCTATCCACACTAGCTTAGTGTGTATTCAGCCTACACAGCTGTCTCCCGCAGTCACTGGCTCCAGTCCTGCAGGTGCCACGCAGTCACTTCATATGCTTCAGCCAACATGAAAATCCATGTCAACTTTTTCAAAAAACACGCTAATGCAGGGCTGGGTGCAGTGGCTCACGCCTGTAATCCCAACACTTTGGGAGGCTCAGGTGAGTGGATCACGAGGTCAGAAGTTCAAGACCAGCCTGAGTGAAACCCCATCTCTACTACAAATACAAAAATTAGCTGGGGCTGGGTGTGGTGGGGCACACCTGTAATCCCAGCTACTTGGGAGGCTGAGGCAGGAGAATTACTTGAACCTGAGAGGTGGAGGTTGCAGTGAGCCGAGATCATGCCACTGCACTCCAGCCTGAGTGACAGAGCAAGACTCCGTCTCAAAAAAAAAAAAAAAAAAAAAAAAAAAGCTAATGCTTGTAAAAGTTTACAATTCTGGTTTTTTAAACCCAAAGATTGATTCAGACCCATCTTTAGCCACATAATTTATTTCATCCCTGCTTCATCCTACTTTCTTTTTCCCTACAATAAAGGTTAATTTTCAAAGTGATGATAAAAGGCATGTATGCTTGTTTAAAAGGATTCAGAGGCTGGGTGCCGTGGTTCATGCCTGTAATCCCAGCACTTTGGGAGACTGGGGTGGGTGGATCACAAGGTCAGGAGTTCAAGACCAGATTGGCTAATATGGTGAAACCTCGTCTCTACTAAAAATACAAAATTAGCCGGGCATGGTGGCAGGTACCTGCAGTCCCAGCTACTCAGGAGGCTAAGGCAGGAGAATTGCTTGAACCCAGGAGACGGAGGTTGCAGTGAGCTGAGATCACACCACTGCACTACACTCCAGCCTGGGTGACAGAGTGAGATTACGTCTCAAAAAAAAACAGATTCAGAAAGGCAAAAAGGTATAAAAACCAAAATCATCCACAATTATAAATCCCTAGAGACAATCAATTAAAATATTAGCATTTATTTTCCAGGTTTATTACTGAAGAGATTTTTAAATGAAAATGAGGATACTATTTATACTGCTTTGTAATATGCTCTCACTTAACATATCACAGAATCTTTCTATGTTAATAAATACTCATGGACTCATCACTCTAGTTACTGCAAAGTGTCCCCTTGTGTGGATCTTCCAGAATTTACTAAAACAATCTCCTGTGGATGGGCATTCTGATTGTTTACAACTTGGTGCTGATAGAATCCTGTCTACTTTTCTAATGGCAGGATGTTCTCCAATTAGAAATACAAAGGAAATATCTTAGTTCTTCATTTCCCACAAGTCTACACTTAGAATAAACTCTGTGAGATCTATCATTTGTCAGTGGGATTTACCAACAAAAGTGAAAAGGAAAAAACGTAGAAATGTGACCTCGGCCAAGCGGGCAGAAATGAGGACTGCAGGCTTCAGTTTTGTTGTCATTGGACTATCAGGATAATCCTCAGTGCCTCTGGTGCCCTCCTTCTATAAAATAGCCAGAGGTTTGTCTTTTCTTCCTTCCTTCTTGTTTCTCTCAAAAATATTTATAAATAAAAAGACGAATGGACTTTCTGTCCTTGCTTTCCTAGCCAGTCCTTTTTCTTTTTAAAACACCTTGTTTTACTGCCATGACAAGTTAAAATAAGCACAGTCTGTGCAGCTTTCAAATCCAGACTGAAGCACATTCAAAGAGGCCCAGGCCATGATTCATTCCTCCTCTTCTTTGTAGGATAAATAAATACCTGACAAAGCAACCGCCCAACTGGAGCACACCACGCATGCCAGTAAAATGAACCAAATCTTCATTCAATTGCAACCCAACCCTGAAAAGAAGTCAGACTGGAGAAAACCTACATTGTCAACGAGAGACCCATGGCTTTAGTTAAGGTTATCTGCGCTTTGCTTTCCATGCATGGAATCCTTACCCATATACGCCGCCCAGTGCAGAGCACGCCGGTCCTTCTTGTCAAACGCATTGATATTTGCCCCTTTGGCCAGGAGTAAATTGACCATCTGAAAGATAATCAACCATGAAATCAAGCACATATTCTATAATGGTGAGGCCTCTTCACTGCCTGCAGGTGATCTGAGCCAAATTAACATCAAATCTAAAGGCAGGTCAGAGATCTGGAGTTCCGACAAAGTATAAATATAATGTCAGAGCAGGACCTGTGTCATGTGTGTCAGAGGAAAAGACTGAAGTGACAGCCTGCTTCTTCAATTCATTGTGGCTCTAAAGTTAAGAATGATATACTTGCTGAAGGTTTGGTGTACAAATATTTTCATCACATTCTTTAAAATCTGAGCAAGAAGATCAGTTTCCATTTGTGGCTGAAAGTGTCTGGAGGGAGCATTCCAGTTCCGAATGATAAAAATACCCACCTCCACGTGGCCGTTCAAAGCTGCATGGTGCAAGGCTGTGCGCCCCCCTCGGTCAGAGACATTGACACTGCTCAGCAGGGGAATGATCACTTCTGCACATTTGACAGCCTTGTTGGCTGCTGCCACATGAAGAGGGGTCTGCCAGTTCTTGTCCCTTGCATTGACATCAGCTGAGTGCTTAATCAAAACCTGTACTGCTTCCTACAACAAAAGCAGAGTTTGCAGAGGTCACTGACAGACGTTCAACCAATACTTACTGGTGTAAGATGCTTCACCAAACCCTGGAACTATGGAGAGAAAGGCTCCCTGACCTTACAGGCTAGTTCCAGACAAGCCAGGTAATATTTGATAAATATCAAAAGAGTGGCACAGATTAAGACAGAATCACTTTACCTTTCTTTGTCAAGCTAAGAGCCCTGGCACATCTCTAATCATTATTAGAAGGTTTATTACCTTCTAAGTATATGATGTCCTTGTAACGTAGAAGGCACTCTCAGGCCAAATGAGAGCACCCATGTGCAAGTGTGCATACCAGGGTAAAATATCTATAGACCAAAAAGCCTCAGACATTCTTGAATCGGTTTACAAATCTTTGGTTCTCTCTGCCAACATCTTAACCCTCAGCCTCGTGTGAACAAGTGGTAAAGATGGGAAGTAACATCTCTGTTCCCATCTCAACTTAAAGCTGTGAGTTGTCTCCATCTTTTCCCAACGTTTTCCACATTATGATGGGTCACTTCTTTTGCCATTGTTGAGCTCCTTTACCTTCATTGAGTCTCCCACCTTTTTGCTTCTATTGGCCCAGTCAGCTCTCTAGCCTCTTGATCTATGACTTTCAACCCTGGCTTTGCAATGGAATCATCCATGCAGCTCTTAAAAAAACAGAAGCCACGCATGGGCAACATAACAAAACCTCATCTCTTCCAAACAAACAAACAAGCAAACAAACAAAAACCAATAAACATATATAGGTGCAAAAGTAATTGTATTATTTTTAATGGCAAAAACCACAGTTACTTTTGCATCAACTGGGAGTGGTGTTTCAGGCCTCTAACTCCTAGCTACTCAGAAGGCTGAGGTGGGAGGATCACTTGAGCTCAGCAGTTCAATGTGATCACAACGAGCTGTGATCACAACACTGCACTTCAGCCTGGGCAACAGAGCAAGACCCTGTCTCAGAAAAAAAAAACAAAAACAGTAGTTTAAAATGATTATGGAATTAAATTTACAGACATATGTAATATTTGAAATGTAGAAGGCCTTAGGGTTCATCTGGGCTGATCCCTTCATTTCACAGGCAGCTTTATTTTACAGGCAAGATGACGGAAGTCTAAGGTAATGGCCTGGCTGACTTATGGGATCATGCATTTTCTAACAGGCCATTTTCTACTGGGCTTACTTGGTAAATAGTACCAGTCAAGCATCCTGGCATAAACAGATTCAAAAGTTAATTCTCCTTAGTTATTTACATTTGCAAATCCTAAAGTCTTAGTCTGCTACACTGGCTTAATACATGTAATAGAAATTTAATATCTTGGCAAAAACAAAGCTTTGATTAAAAACAGATAATTTCCTTTTTAAAAACTATATTTCTCTTTCAAAAGTTTTAAGCTTGGAAGCTCTTTAACTTGGTTTTACAATGGAGTAATTTGATAGCCATTTAGGGAATTAATAATTTTTTAAATTAAAGAAGTCTACCTTCTCCTGTATCACATGTTGGCTAAAAATTAATATCCAGGAGCTTGCTCTAACAGAAATATACAAGGTAAAAAAGAAACTAATTTTGGGGAAGAGAAGCGGAATACTTCCTGAATCAAGAAAAGATTCTTTTTTTCTGTTTTTTTTTTTTTTTTTTTTTTATTGACTTTTAAGTTCTGGGGTACATGTGCAGAATGTGCAGGTTATATACATAAACATGTGCCATGGTGGTTTGCTGCACAGATTAACTAATCACCTAGGCATTAAGCCCAGCATCCATTAGCTATTCTTCCTGGTGCTCTCCCTCCCCTCTCCCCACCAAAAGGCCCCAGTGTGTGTTGTTTCTTCTCATGTGTCATGTGTCCCTGTATTCTCATTGCTCAGCTCCCACTTGCAAGTGAGGATGTGCAGTGTTTGGTTTTCTGATCCTGAGTTAGTTTGCTGAAAATAATGGCTTCCAGTCCCTGGAAAGGACATGATCTCATTCCTTTTAATGGCTGCATAGTATTCCATGGTGTACATGTACCGCATTTTCTTTATTCAATCTATCGCTGATGGACATGTGGGCTGATTCTATGTCTTTGCCATTGTGAATAGTGTTGCAATGAACATAGACATGCATGTATCTTTACAATAGAATGATTTATAATTGGATTGCTGGGTCAAATGGTATTTCTACTTCGAGATCTTTGAGAAGTTGCCACACTGTCTTCCACAATGGTTGAACGAATTCATTCCTACCAACAGAGTAAAAGTGCTCCTTTTTCTCTGCAACCTCATCAGCATATCTTGTTTCTTGACTTTCTAGTAACTGCCATTCTGACTGGTGTGAGATGGTATCTCATTGTGGTTTCTCTAATGATCAGTGAGGTTGAGCCTTTTTTCATGTTTGTTGGCTGCATGAATGTCTTCTTTTGAGAAGTATCTGTTCATGTACTTTGCCCCCTTTTTAATGGGCTTGTTTTTTTTCTTTGTGAATTTAAGTTCCTGTAGACTCTGGATATTAGACATTTGTCAGATGGATAGATTGCAAAAATTGTCTCCCATTCTGTAGGTTGCTTGTTCACGATGATGATAGTTTATTATTTTGTGCAGAAGCTCTTTGGTTTAATTATATCCCATTTGTCAATTTTTGTTTTAGTTGCAATTGCTTTTGGTGTTTTCGTCATAAAATCTTTGCCCGTGCCTGTGTACTAAATGGTATTGCCTAGATTTTATTCAGAGTTTTTATGGTTTTGAGTTTTACATTTAAGTCTTTAATCCATCAAGAAAAGATTCTTTAACAGTGCTTTTCGAACTATGTGTGGTAAAGAGCCGTTTTTAAAAAATAATTATTATTTCAAGTCCATCACTTTTGAGCCAATACTTTTGTACAATACAATAAAAAGCAATTAGTAGAATAAAATGAAAAAAGATACAAATTATAAATGTAATTATTTTATTATTAAAGTTAAGGGGCATGAAATTATCAAATTGCCCTAAAAGTTTCTGACCACCTAATCTTTTCATAACAGATAAGATAAAAAGCTCACAGGACCAGCCCCAGTGCACAGGCACTCTGTGAATCATACTCCTTCAAAGCCTTTGTTTCTTTTTTTTTTTTTTTTTAATTTTTTTTATTTGAGACAGAGTCTCACTCTTTCACCCAGGCTAGAGTACAGTGGTGCCAACCCGGCTCACTGCAACTTCTGCCTCCCAGGTTCAAGCGATTCTCCTGCCTCAGCCTTCCAAGGAGCTGGAATTACAAGAACGCACCACCACACCCAGCTAATTTTTTTGTATTTTCAGTAGAGACAAGGTTTCACCCATGTTGGTCAGGCGGGTCTTGAACTCCTGACCTCAAGGGTTCCGCCTGCCTTGGCCTCCCAAAGTGCTGGGATCACAGGTGTGCGCCACTGTGCCTGACCCTTTATTTCTTTCATAATGAGCAAACACCAGTGAGGATTCTGGTATTTCCCCTGAATGGAGGCATCAGCCCAGTTAACATTCTGTTTTAGGACTGTAGGCCTTTTTGGATGACACCCTGTAGCAGGCCATCCTATATAAGATGCAAAAATACTAGAAAGGAGGAGCTGTCATGGGATGTCATATAGGAGGGAACTGGACATGGCATTTGCAAGTCAGTCAATCTCTACTTTTTACGGCTCCTTTTTTTTAAACAAAAGGCCACTTTAACTTTGTAATACGAAATAGAAACATACACTGTGGCACACGGAAAAGATGAGAACAGGAGGCATGTATCTTAGAAACTATCATCCTTAATATTTGTTTCTTTATCTCAAATATGCATTGCCTTTTGGTGGACATAAATTATTCACGGAAAAGTAACTGTTTATGACCACACATAGTCCCTGCAGGCATAAGCAGCGTCAAGTTTCATAAATTACAAGTTGCTTTAGATAAGGGTCTAAATGTTATACAACTTTTTGTACTCTCCACAAAGCCTGGCAGGTGCTTTGCACATAGTGTATATTCAATAAATTTGGGTAGAATAAATATATTGCTGTAATCATCAGCAAACTCTGTAAGTAATAATCTGTACGTGTTAACAGGACATTACTGTGGGCTGATGTCCCTGAGGCTGCACTCCAGTCCAGAAGGCTTTGCTGTATTACTGTAATCATTTGGTGCTTGTATGTCAATTGTAGTAATTTCATGTTCTGTAAGAATTGTATAAATTGATGTCCAACCAATTTGCTCAATTAGAGTGTTCTTCTAAAACTACCAAGCACCAAACAAAGCTCTCTCATTATTTTAATTATTAGTAGAGCACAATTATTCTAAGAACTAGGAGTGCAAAGGCAGTTCGCTGGAGGCTTTGGGATATGAAAGAATTCTAAGCAAACTATTTAAGCAGTGATGACTTTAACCATTAGGAAGGGCAGACACTAAAGTATTACCAGTGTTTAATCTCAGATCTCAAAGTGTGGCATGTAGATGACACGTATCAGAATCTTCTTTTGAACAGGCAAATTTCTGGGTCTACACATAGGCTTCATTCAGAATCACTAGGGCTGAGGTTTTAGAACAGGTACTTCTTTTTTTTTTTTTGAGACAGAGTATCCCTCTGTCTCCAGGCTGGAGTACAGTAGCACGATCTCAGCTCACCACAACATCCGCCTCCTGGGTTCAAGCGATTCTCCTGCTTCAGCCTCCCAAGTAGCTAGGACTACAGGTGCACACCACCATGCCCAGCTAATTTTTGTATTTTTAGTAGAGATGTGGTTTCACCATGTTAGCCAGGATGGTTTCAATCTCTTGATCTTGTAATCCGCCCGCCTCAGCTTCCCAAAGTGCTAGGATTACAGGTGTGAGCCACCACACCTGGCCAAACGGGTACTTTTAACAAGCACCCCAGATCATTTAAATGCACTAAAGCTGGGTACCACTTGTCTACATTCTAATAGATTATAAATAAAATAATTACTTTCTTCCTATTCCAGGCATGACCTATGTTCTATACACGAACAATTTTTTATAATCATGAAAATAATTTAAAGAAAGCAATAACATTCTACTCTTCTATATAATGTTTCCAATTCTCCTGTCTACTAGCATTCAGCCCACAATAATGATAATGTTTTTTAGAGGAAAAGGGAAAACATAAGTTTTTAAAATTTCAACCATAAAAATAAAAGGCTTATCCTGCTCAGCTCTGGGAAAGATCTGTGTACCAGTTGGGTCTTCTGTCTGCACAAAAGCCAAAAATAGATGCGCCTTATTGGCTAGACCAGGCTCCATAAGGGTGCTGATGGGAGTTGAAGAAAGCAGTACAGAACGGTGGTTAAGCAGGCAGCTTCTCTAGTCACACTTTCCTTCACTTTCTGGCTGCGACATCGACATCGTTGGCTCCCTACTAACTTTCTGAAATTACATTTCTTAAATTAGTATTGCTAATAGCATCCATCTCGAAGGGTGGATCAGAGGTTAAAAGAGAATGATACACACAAAGTCCTTAGCATACTGCCTAGCACACAGTAAGTGCTTAATGAATGCTCGTAACTACAACAAGTACGTGGACACAATGTCCTCACTCCTATACTCAAAAGACAAGATACAACAATTTTTAACTTTTCTAACCAAAAGACAGTCTCTAGAATGGGGAAGTGAAAAGTTCAGCAATTCTACTTTGAGGCTCCTCTCAACTGGTCATAGCAGAAAGGGCACCTGGAATGGGCCAGCCACGTCTGGACATAGGCCACAGCAGGCTGCATGCCTGGTGATCTCCCCAAGTACTGTCTACTAAAACTAAAAGCCACACTTTGTACACCCTTCGGGCCCCCTGCAGCACACTTAACAATGCCTTCCACCAACTGGGCTTCCATAAATGTGCATTAGGCTTTCTGGGTTTGTGTATATTTCATTCCTTTCCCCTACAGTTGCTCTTTTCCAGAAAGAAAAGAATAAACCGAACACAGGAAAAAATATGAAATAGGCTTTACAAGAACACCTCAGAATATTCCCACTGGCAGCCCCAAATCTTGCTTATCTATGTTAGCTAGCAAGGTGAAAGATGTTCCCTTAATATTTGAGTAAGAACCTCTCTTCACTTCTTCACAGCCTAGGGAGTACGTAAGAAAAAAAGGAGGATGAGTTCAGAGAAGCCTTTAGGGAGCCAATAAGGAGACAGTGCTGCTTGGCTCCAAGCTGTTTCCAACCTGGGAATCCCAGATGTGCCAAACTTGGGGAGCAGGTCAAGGGTAGGAAAGAGTCATGGGATTGAATGTAGAAGGGAACACACAAGACAGCCTGGTCAGCATCAGATAAGTCTTCAAGATTTATCTCTAGAGTACAGTTATATTTTGGAAGATTTTCAAGGGGTGTGATTATGTCTTGATCTACTTTCTTATCTATGGTGGACATAATGTCAGGCATGGATTAATGTTTAATGAATATTATGATCTGACACTCTTATTGCTAAAACCTAGGAAATGAACTTAGCAATGCATATTATTTTTCCAGACACAGAAATCTGAACATAAATCTTGCCTGGATGAAAAGAAGGCTTCAAAATTTTGACTTACACTGATATCTGTGGTGTATGCAATTGTGAAACTAGCCCTGATTTTGCAGGTTTCAGTGGCTTAGTTGGCTTTTAGTGTACATATTCCCATAAACATGCTTCAATTCTGTTTACACTGCATGCATAAAAGATGATTACCATCAGTATTCTGGTATGGTATATACCAGTTCTATCTTACCAGTTGTACACAGAAAATTATTATAGCTTAAATTGAAAATCCAATCTTTAATGAATCACTCAAAAAAATATTTTCTAACGAGGCAAGTTGCTAGAAATACAATGGCAAGCAATACGCATGGCACACATTTCAAAGAGCTTACTGTCTAGAAGATCTTTTTAATTAAAATAGAATAACAATTTCTATGGTAGTTTTGCATCGTGCCAAGTTAGCCAAGTTGATCTACATTTCCCAGAATTCCTTTTTCTGTAGTACTCCCTTTAGGGTTTGCCACAAGAGCTATCTGATGAGTTTTGGAAGGCATAATTGAAACTGCAGCCTGACTGGTACGTTGTTGGGCACCAGGTAGTGTTGCAGCTTGCACACGATGTCACTAATAGGCTGGATCACCACACTGGCAAGGGGCAGTACCTAGCTTGATGCTCTTCAGATCCTGTGGCATCTTCTTTGATTTCTCCAATTCTTGGGCCAGGTGTATGAGCAGCAACTTCTGCAAGTCATCCATGTCCATGATGTTGGAGGCAGTGTTAAACAGACCTCGGTTCCAGTTTGTCCTTGTTCTCCCCTATTTCATATGCAGCTTTTCCATAGTAGACTCTGCTGATCTACAGTGACTTCAGGGCCTCACAGAATCCAAGGTGATAGCCTTACATAGACCACAACAGCTTACACACATGTGTAAGATCTAATTCCTATATTAAATATCTTACTCTGTATCTCTCACGGTGGTTCTGCTTCCTTGATTAAACCCCAAACCCTGAGCGATCAATTACCTATATTTTATAAGCACATAGGCTTTGAGGACAGACAGAACAGAGTTTATAAACTTTTCAGTGAAGAAATGGTTTTAAACACATGGCCATGTAATATCAGTGTTTACCAATCTAAGGAAGAGACGTGCCAGCTGTCAGCTGAAACCATACATCTTGGCAAGTGCTAACAGTTAAATTCCAAAATACCAGTCCAAACCTTCTCTTTTCTTCCCCTCAAATCTACTTTCTTTTCCCCAAGTATTAGCTATGAGAGGCATAAAATAATGGCAATAGGACCAAATTCCAAAGAAGGAAATCTGAATTTAGGACTTCCACAGCACAGCAACATACCTGGAGTTAAGATGTCTTCTCCACCGTCAGCTCTAACAGTGGTTACAGAGACTCCAATTTGTATAAGAAACTGTTCAACTTGCTGTGACAGATATTAATATGAAGACATTCTCTTTCATGAGCTCATATATGAACCAATTATTTACAATTCAGGGTTTGTTTGCATTTAATTCCTACCTGGCAAGGGATTCTTTTTTCCTCCCTGCAAACCTACAGAGGGAGTTGATTACTTACAGAAGCAACAAATGCCTTTCTCAGAGAGGAAGGTTAGTCCATCATTAGGCTGACTGGATTCAAACACACTTAAGACACTTACAGAATACAGACCGGTTGTTGATGGAAGATGGATGTTTTGAGGATTGAAGTCTTTGCAGCTAGTTGAGCGAACAAAGGTAGAGATCACTTGGGAAAGGTCACGGAGTACTGAACTCATCTTTTTTCTGTCTTTCTTTTTCCACTAGACTACACACTTCCTAAGGGCAGAGGCCATGAGTCTTAGTTTTCTTTGCGGCTCCATCAGCTACAAAGAAAAGGTACCTGGCATATAGGAAATGCATACTAAGTTATTTTCCCAACTAAAAAGACCCAGTTCTTGTTAAAGAGGAAACAAATCCATACATATTTTTAAAGAGACACTTAAATTTACTAAAGACCAAGTGGTCTTAAAAGGCCAGGAAATACTCCTCTATGAAGGAGTTAGTCTCATGAAGCTGGTCAGACCTGCTCAGTCAGCTTACTGCACTCATTTTCCCAGACAAAACAGAAATAATATATGGAACCAGGAGAAGATTCCGAATTCTCCAGGATCTGGGCCAGGCCATTTAGGATTATTTACCTCTCTCATTCCACGTGGGAATTTTGGAAAGAGAACATAACTAACCCCTTTTTAAAACTACTAAAATCACAAAGTGCAGCAACAAAAACTATAACTACTGAGCTGTCATCTACCAAGTATATTTTGAAATTTCCAGATAGTTGCCAAAGAGGAAAAGCTGACACCAATAATAGCCAAAGACACCTACAACTTCTGTACATTCATTCTCAGCAAGACCTTTTGTTCCTAGGTGTACCTGGAGAATACCACCTTCTCCAGTAGCAGAGGAGAAGCTTCACTTAGTAAACTCAGCTACGGAGGCCAGTCATCCAGCACCAAGTGCATACAAGGTTAGAACCTCTTGTATCCCTATGGTGGGCATCTCCTCTGACCAGGCTTCAAGACTGACATTCAACAGGCTTCCCTGCTGCCCTGCCTTCACATTGGTCTTCTCATTCTTTATGCTTCCCCTGAGCAACTGATACATTTACCACAGTTTGATGATCATCCCTCCCTGTCCCTGAGTGGTACACTTGTATAAATAATAATAGATAACCTATTAGTCATCTTCACTCGAATTTCCAGCATTCAACAACAAATGATTTCTTGAATGCCTAGAATGTACTGGGCTTGGGATATATCCAGGAACAAAGCACAGACACCTGCCCTCATGGAGCTCCCACTCCAAGGACATGCTTGCTGAACTCAGCATTCTCAAACAGAACCCTCCAGCCTCCTGGCCACTGTTCCACTGCTCTGTGCCTCTTCTGTTAATAGCATCACCATTCGCCTACCAGCTTCTTTGCCACCTCACCCCTCCTAGGTACCAAATCCTACCAGGGTTACCTCTGACGAGCTCTCAAATCATGGACTCAACTGTATGCTCTCAACCCAGCTGCTTCAAGCCTTTTTTGGTCTCTTATTGGCCCTTCTCCCCAAGGTCCCTCCCCCTCAGCCTATTTACATGCTGCCACCACAGAGGTTCTCTGAAACAGATATCTGAGTATATCACTCTCCTCCTGTGACCATTCTCCATTGCTCAAAGGATTCCAAGACCTCTGCCATCTGGCCCAGCCTCCACTATCAGACTTATCTTCCACTACAGGCTGAGTTCCAGTTATACCTCACTGAGGACCCCAGATTCACTCAATTCCCTGCCTCAGCCCTCCCTCCTTCTCCTAGCCTGTTAAGTCCTTACTCATCCTTTAAGGACCAGCTCAACTGACATCTCTTCTTGGAAGATTTCCTCTATTCAAGCAGGCAGTTAGTTCCTTCCTCCTGCAAGTCAATGATGACATTGTACTGATCTGCTTTCTGCCTTGCCTCCTCCCCAGGCTGAGAACTCAATGAACTCCAGGATCATGCTGTGCATGTTGAACTACCCCAGACACTCCCCAGCTCCACTCAGCACCATGTCTGGCATGCAGGAGTTGCTCAAATAAACAGCTGTTCATTTTGGGTAACCCTCTCACATTAGAGGTAAAAGCCTTTTGCTTACCAGTAAGGATTCTTAATTCACTAGCAAGAATTTTCCTTTTTCTAGGCACAGTAGGTATTAGATTAAATGTGGTAATCACTCACTTCACTTCTGGAAGCAACAGCCCGGTGCAGTGGGGTCAGCCACATGTTGTCCTTGGCATTTACACGAGCTCCTGGAATCAAACAGCACAAGTTAGAGTCATGCTGGAGTCAAGGGAAACCCTGCTGACGTTAAGTTAAATGCTGTATCTTGCTCCCATTTGCCTGACATAACCACCACCTCTTCTTTTCTTTATATTATCATGTTCTGACAAGATTTAGGGCTGAGGGGACCAGCAGAAATCTGCTTTATCTAAAAATCTGGGACTAGCCAGATATTTTGGCAAAAAGAAGCCAGTTTCCATGAGGCTTTTGGACAGATAGGACATGAGGCCTATAAATTGCTCATAATTTCTCAAGCTATGGGGTAGACAGACAGGCTCAAGCATGAGCCCAAACTGTCTCACACTCAGAGGTGTGCCCATGCTCAGCTCTATGAAACTGTGCCATCATCATGGAACAGAAGCTCTCTGCAAATGAATTCACAGAAAGCAGAGTTTGCCCGCCTTCCATGACACCCTCACCGTTCTCCATGACCACCAGCCCACCAAGTCTATGTCTAAACAGCTAAGACACTGATTATAAGCTTCCTTTTAGGGAAGTCCTTTTAGAGGGAATCAGAGTTTTGATTAGTCGTCTGGTCAGAGCTGGGATGTTTTATAAAAGGGCTACAAAAGGCAAAGAGGAGAAAATAAGTATGATATCCTTGTAGAAGCAGTAGAGAAGTCAGCTCTAGCCTTAGGATGATGAGGAAGGAAGCTCATGAGGACAGAGAGTGGAGAAATGAATCAAAGAAACTAGAAAGTAAGGCAGAGAAAAGGAAACACAGAGGTGGCGCCTCAGGACAAGGGCTGAGAAAGTGAGTCAAGGGGAAGCAGGGGCTGACTAATCTCCATGAGGCCAAGGCCAGCTGATAGCTCGAAAATAGAAACTTAAAAAAAAAAAAAAAGGTAGTGGACTTTCATGCATAAAAATGAGCTAGAGGTTTAGTTTAAGGCACTGGCTAAGAGGAAATAACAAATCATAGAACTTACACTATTTTTTTCTTTAACTGAAGAAGAACAAATGCCATCAATGGCAATTAATCATAGAAAACAAGAGCATAATCCCTAAAACAAAGAGAGGCGGAATGCCTCCCCTCCAACCTCCATTTTTATTTCATTGGTTTCAGATGGGGTCAGGTACAAGGGTTATGGTACTATGCTGTCAAGGTTGAGAGCCACTGATGAATTTGTTGCTTAATTTATCCAGGTCAAAATTATTTAAATCCTAATTCCACTAACACCAGCTTGCCTGAAGGAATTCAAGCTCCTTATGTCAGTAAGGGCAAAAAAATCAGTTTTGGTGTGCAAAATCAGTAGGCATCTCTGGCCTCAGTAACAGGAAGCTGTGGGCTAAATGCTCTGGCATGAAATGAATGTGGGTTTGGAAGGACAGCGGGATTCATGGTCAGAAGATGTAGATTTGAGTTCTGATTTCAGCCACTAATCTGAACAATGAGGCTAACAACAACAGTATTAATACTTCTCCACCCACTTCACCTAGGGAGAATTAAGTGAATAGGAAAGTGCTTCATAAACTGCAAAGCACTAGAAAAATATTAACGGTTCTTATTTTCAAATCACCTCTAACGTGTCATTCACCTCTAAATCTATGACTCAGATTTTCAAAGAGAGTGAAAGGCATGACCCTTGCCCTACAAAGAAAGAGACCAAATATGAGATTGAAAAACACAGAGAACCATCACCTGGAGACTGCCCAAACACAAATCTTTTTAAGAGCAAGAGAGACTCAAGTGCTAGAGAATGCTAGAAAGAAGAAAACCCAGATGTGATTAAGAACAGTAAAATCGGTGAATTTTAAAACACAATTACCACTACCAAAACCAAATTTTAGATTTCTTCTTCTAAATCTTAGCTCCAACACATTGTCAGGTGATGGTCACAAAGTCTACCTTTCTAGTTTAGAAACAAAGCATGTATCCCTTCAGCTCTTCCAACACTCTGGATTCAAACCTTTTAAAATTACCCATCTTTTTGTCAGGACTTTTCTTGCATCATAAATACATAATTTATGGCCACATTGTGTGGTAGATTTGACCACACTGTGTTTCTATCTAGTAAGCCAAGTGTACGTTTGTTTCTTATTTGGGGGCTGTTTTTTTGGCACCCATGCCACAAACATCACTCAGGCCTTATGCAGTCCTGGAGAACTGGAACTACTTTTATTATAGTCTTTGGCAGAGTAAATTTTGTGCTTTAAATTTTCTGTAAATTCAAAAAACGAATGCAAGAAGAAACCCAAATGGCAAGACGCATATGGAAAGTTACTTCTCAAAATTCATCAGGGAGAAGCAAATGAAAGCAGCATTAACATACCACTTCACATCCATCAAATTGGTAAAAATGATAAAGTGTGACAATGCCAAGATTTAGCAAGGGTATGGAGCAACAAGAAAAGTTAACATACAGCTGGCAAGAGTGAATTGGTAAACCTCCTTTGGGAAACAATGTGGCATTACCTAGTGAAATAGATGACATGCACACCCAACCACCTAGCAGTTCCACCCCAATCATATATCCTAGAGAAACTCTAACACATGTACATGAATGTTCACCACAACATGTTTATGACAATAAGAAATTGGAATCCTAAATGTCAATATAGAGGAAAATGGATAAATAAGTTGTGGTATATTTGTACAATGGAATTCTACACTGTCATAGAAAGGAACAGCCTGAAGTTCTATATATATAAACAGGTGTACTTTAAAAATCATAACACCAAATGAACAAATCAAGCTGCAGAATTATACCTATGGCATAATACCAGTTGGATTTCTATAAGTTGTTTATAAATGCATAAATATGAAATAAAAGTTTAAAATATAGCTAAAGAGTATAAATACCAATTCTGGATAATGGTTATGTCTAGGGAAAGAGGAGTATGAAAAGGAATGAAGTAAGAGTACCCAGAGAGCTGCACCCGTGTTTTCAATGTTTTGTTTCCTTAAAAATACATATATATGCAAATATGGCAAAATATTAAGAGTTCTTAAAATTTAGTGGAAGGTATATGGATATGTACTATATTATTCTCCATACTTTTCTGTATGTTTGAAATATTTTCTAACAAAATGCTTTTAAGAAAGCTAGTGCATTTGAAGTTTTATGTTTCTTAGTGAAAATAATGGGGAGAGAAAATAATGGACTAAGCTGCTTTTTTTTTTTTTTCGAGACGGAGTCTCACTCTGTCACCCCAGATGGAGTGCAGTGGTCCAATCTTGGCTCACTGCAACCTCTGCCTCCCAAGTTCAAGTGATTCTCCCGCCTCAGCCTCCCATGTAGCTGGAATTACAGGTACTTCCCACCATGCCTGGCTAATTTTTATTTTTTTGGTAGAGACGGGTTTTGCCATTTTGGCCAGGCTGGTCTCAAACTCCTCAGTTGATCCACCTGCCTTGGGTGCAAGTATTTACCTAGAATAGATGATTTAAAATGGACTTTGTGTCATGGGTAATACACAGTTTTGGTTTCAAAAGGTCCTGTAAACCCTCCAAAGTGTGCCGGTTTACGACCTCAGAATGTATGATTGCTTCGTTTCTCCATATCCTCAACACTTGATGTTATCAGACATTAAAATTTTTTTTTAAATTTTTAGAGACGGTCTCACTCTGTCAGTCAGTTTGGAGTGTAGTGGTGTTATCATAGCTCACTGCAGCCTTGAACTCCTGGGCTCAAGCAATCCTCTGACATCAGCCTCCAGAGTAGCTAGGACTGTAGGTACATGCCACCATACCCAGCTAATTTATTTTTGTAGAGATGGGGTCTTGCCATGTTTCCCAGGCTGGTCTCAAACTTCTGCCCTCAAGTAATCCTCCTATTTCAGCCTCCTAATGTGCTGGGATTACAAGTGTGAGCCACCATGCCCAGCCAGACATTTTAAATATTGCAAATCTGAGTCAATAATACTGTATTACGCACTTAAAACATTTGTTAAGAGGGTAGATCTCATGTTAAGTGTTCTTATCACACACACATTAAAAAAACCCCAAAATAACAAAACAAAGGGACACGAGAAAAATTTTGGAGGTGACAGAGATATCTATTACCTTGCTTGTGGTGATAATTTCATGGGTGTTTGCATATATCCAAACTCATCAAGCTGTAGACATTAAATATATGCAGCTTATTGTATATCAATTATACTTCAATAAAGCTGCTTTAAAAACAGATAAATAGGCTGGGCATGGTGGCTCATGTCTATAATCCCAGCACTTTTGGGAGGCTGAGGTGGGCAGATCACCTGAGGTCAGGAGTTCAAGACCAACCTGGCCAGCATGGTGAAACCCTGTTTCTACTAAGATACAAAATTTAGCCAGGCATGAGGACGGGAGCCTGTAATCTCAGCTACTCTGGAGGCTGAGGCAGAAGAATCACTTGAACCTGGGGGGCAGAGGCTGCAGTGAACGGAGATGGCACCACTGCACTCCAGCCTGGGTGACAGAGTGAGATTCCCTCTCTAAAAAATAAATACATACATTCAGACATACACACATACATACATACATATCTGATTGAGAAAAATATAGCATCTTATTTTTTTAGTCTCCGGTCTAACAATACAGCTGGACATCTAATATGTTTGATTACTAGCCATTTGTAATTCATTTTCTGAAAATTACTTGTTCATATTCTTTGCATACTTCTCTTATTTTTCTGTTTCTTATTTATATTTATACACTTTTATTATTATTATTATTATATTGTATTCTGAAAAATTTTAGTTTTATGAATATCCAAATTTGGCTTTCAATATTAAAAATATTTCAAGGAGAAAAATGATCCCACACATGCTGGGCCTCATACATACAGTGACACATACCCAGGGTGTAACGACACCAGCATCGTTCACGTGTCACTTCAAGAGTCCCTTGAGAAATGTAAAGGTGATTAGAAATGTAGGCAATGGCTTCTTTCAGTCAGTGTTTAACTCCTCCCTTCCTCCACTTCTCCTTCTCATGGAGGTTGAATAGGCAGCTGCCAGGAAAACCTCCTCTCCCCCATAACAAAAATTTTTATAACAAAAGCAGTTATCTGAATGGAGACCCAAGAAGCATTTCATCAGTGTCATCTCTTGCTGCCAGCTTCCTCATCCTCTTCCTCTGAACACTTTCAAGAGTCTTGTTTACATGTCAGAGGGAGATGTCAGATGGTTTTGGCTCTGAATTGAATATTTATAGCTGATTTTTCTAAAGGAAGCTTCACATTATTTACCTGCCTGTCAGGCACCATTGTGCACTGAAGGACACAGTCTGCATGTCTAATGATTTAAAGGCAAATGCTTTTTTACCCAAGGACATGTTAAAGCTTAAACATAAAAATAAGTGATGCGGTACACGGATTCTTCAGAAACAAAGGCCCAACCAATCAGGCATAATCTGTAATTACAAACTAAGGATGTTCTTCATTTTATCCCTATTACCTCTTAATTTTATTTTCATAGAGATCAAAGGTAAAGTGAACTCTGGGCATCTTTTCCAGAGGCAATATTTCTGTTCTGTAAGCCATGTCATCTAGGAAGAAGCGGAATAAAGAAAACAGAAGTGCTGTGATAAGGGTAGACTGAGTGTGACTGAAAAATCTCACAAGCCAAAGAGAATAATTTCTTCCTAAGCGTAACTTATCCAAAGTTTGGCTTTTAATTGTTGAAATAAACACGATAGGTCATAAAAATATGATTATAATATAATGAAATCAACTTGCTATTGTTTTTTTTTTTAACAAATCAAATCTTACAGCACTAGAGCACTTCAAAACAATTACCTTAAAAGAGGGATGATAATTCCATGAACGTGACAATTGCTCAAAACATTTAACAAACTCTCCTTGGGAGTTGCCTTTATGGCCAATTCACACACCCACCAGAAAATGGCTTATTGCTTGATAACTGCACCACATTCGTAGGCCAAAATCAGCATTGCCTGGTTGAATCACCCATCTTTCACCAGATAAAAAAATACAAAATTCATCCTCAAAGGGTATTTCTTATGTATAGGGAATCAAAAGACTGATGTGCCACCAGGTCTAGAAATAATTTGCATTGACAGTAGTAAGCACATTTGAAAATTTATAGGAAATAATTTTGCAGGACTACCACTTGGGTTGCATAAATTCTATGGCCAGGTGTGGTGGCTCATCCCTGTAATCCCAGTACTTTGGGAGGCCAAGATGGGAGGATCACTTGAGGCCAGTTTAAGACCAGTCTGATCAACATAGCAAGACCCCATCTTTAAAAAAAAAAAAGTAAATTCAGATTTAAAAAATAAATTTTAATAAATTTTTTTTTTTTTTTTTTTTTTTTTGAGATGGAGTTTCGCTCCTGTTACCCAGGCTGGAGTGCAATGGCGCGATCTCGGCTCACCGCAACCTCCGCCTCCTGGGTTCAGGCAATTCTCCTGCCTCAGCCTCCTGAGTAGCTGGGATTACAGGCACGCACCACCATGCCCAGCTCATTTTTTGTATTTTTAGTAGAGATGGGGTTTCACCATGTTGACCAGGATGGTCTCGATCTCTTGACCTCGTGATCCACCCGCCTCGGCCTCCCAAAGTGCTGGGATTACAGGCTTGAGCCACCGCGCCCGGCCATAAATTTTACTTAGTAGTTACACCTCACAAACACTCCTGTATTGGAGAGTACTTCCAGTTTTCATCTTTCAACCCAGAACCCTATAATCCTTACTTGTCCTCAAAGTTTTCTCTGGAGGATCTTTTTTTTCTTTTTTTTTTTTTGAGATGGAGTCTCACTCTTGTCACCAAGGGTGGAGTACAGTCGTATGATCTTAGCACACTGCAACCTCTGCCTCCCAGATTCAAGCAATTCTCCTGCCTCAGTCTCCTGAGTAGCTGGAATTACAGGCACCCACCACCACATCCTGCTAATTTTTGTATTTTTCAAAGAGATGGGGTTTCATCATGCTGGCCGGCTGGTCTCAAACACCTGACCTCAAGTGATCCTCCCGCCTCAGCCTCCCAAAGTACTGGGATTACAGGCGTGAGCCACCACACCTGGCCTCTGTAGGATATTTCTACTGTTGTCCTTTTTCTGGGTGCTCTGCTTCCTATATCTCAACCCCAGTATCTTAACTCTTAGCCACTGACTGATTCTCACTGATCTCTCTGACTTAATCCTGATTCGGCCAGTTCCCTAACAGCAGCTAGAGTCAGGAGGGAAATAAAGCCAGACTTTGGACTGGCAGTTGTGAGACGGTGAAATTTGCAAGGCCTGAATTCTTCCCCAAGACCTTGTCTTCCCAGTCTACCCAGAGGCATTCAGGGTTCTATCCACCTTGCCAACAGGACATAACGCCAGCAGGACTTTAGCAAGCTTGGGTTATGCCATGCTTTGTAAGTTTATACAACAATAGAGAACACAGCTGTAATGGGCTGTTCTGGCAAGGCCAAATTATTTGTCCAACATGGGAATCGTTAGCACCTCATTCATTATTAAATTGGGTAACAGTTTGGTTGGATTCCCTAAAGGGTCAGCTGCCAAATGCAAGCTCAGAGATGAAATCATCATGCTCTTGTAATATTAGGAATTTAATATATAAATTGAGTAGAGAACCTTTCAGGAAAAATAAAAGCCATGTGAATTCCAAGAATATGCCTCAGCTTCCACAGGTAAATAAAATTATTAAGAAAGAAAACTTTCCCAATGCTCGTCCATACCCTAAGTCTTCCTAATTTGATGGGAGGAAAGAGGAAATTTTCCATAGCACAGTGAACCAAAATTATGCTAAAGAGATTAAGAGTTCGGAAATTCCAAGACCAAACAAGTAAACAGATTAAGATATATGCAACAGCTTCTCCCAGCTCTACTAAATCAGCCAGAGTTGAAGAGAGGCTGGTGGATTCTATGCCCATGTGAAGGTGATGTGAAATCATGTTTGTCAATCAGTGGCCCCAGATACCTGAAAAAAGAGATTGGGTTGACTTCATGCTGCAGAATTAAAATCTTCCCTTTCAGATGTAGAAACAACAACAACACAAATGTGGTGTGTAAGACAAAGTTTTGAATTTGTACAGTCATGAAATGAACATTCCTCTGAGACTCTGAGAGGTCTATTAATATAACATTTAAGAGGTGGGTATAGCTGATGGGGACCATTAGATGTCATACCACAAAGTTCTTTATTTTATACCTTCACCGATTCTGCCTACAATTTTCCATGGGCCAAACTGCCACTGCCAGGGAGACCAGCTAGCTGTGTACTGGCCCTTGGTCTGTGCCAACACCAAATAATACACGTTTGTTTGGAACATGACCCTGGGATGTCTTTAGATTTGCTGGAAGAAAGGCCTGTTCTCAAAAGCACAATAAATGCCATGCGAAATCTAACCTAAGCTCCATATGACCATCAGGAGCATGGGGCACACATGTTTTGAGGCACAGACACTTGTTTCCTGGGGAAACCCACCTCAAGAACACGAACACAACAAAATAAGGGCCATGTTGCTTATACCTCACTGCACAATTCTTGTTTCTCACCACATCTGCATGAATGCATGTCTCAGCTCCTACCTCTGCAGAGCTTACTTTAGGATGGTACAGTTCCCCTTTACTTACTGCAAACAAAGGCAGAAGCTTATTATAGGCCTTTGGACTAGTCCGTAGGCAGAGGTACTTCCTCTAGATGTTAATCTCTAAAACATAAAGGAGGAAGAAGAAAGACAGCCTGTCTGTGAACAATCTACAGTGAGACATTTGCACATGCTCAATTCATTCCAGGACTTGTCTAGCAAACACTCAAGGGAGAAAGTACATAATGGTTTTGGAAACCTGTTTGGTGAGATACACTGAGCATATAGGTTCCCAAAAATAAAACCACTGGCATTTTAAAATCTGATGAAATATTTTAAATACATTGAAAAATAAAGAGGATAATATCACAAAGACCAGTAAAACACAAATCAGACTTAAACGTTTGCCATACTCTCTTCCAATTTTTTAAACATAAAATATTTTATAGAGAGTTGTAGCAGTTCTTTTACAGCCTTCCCTGAAGACCTTTTTTTTTTTTAACTCAACCTGCCTAGTTAGAGGTAACCACTATCCAGCAATCAATATGGTTCCTCACCTTCCATGTTTTTATACTTTTATGACATAGTCAGAGTCATGTATCCATAAGCATAACAGTATTGTCTTACAGCCCAACTTAAATATATGTAAATATACAAACACATTTACTTGGCATATAAATCTAGGGTGTGCATATATATGGCATATATACAGTATGCATATGTAAAATAGCATATATAGTGTATATTATAGTGTTTATATAGAATGTAT